CAGGTGGGTGAGAAAAAACCAGCACACCTTGGGTTCATGAGCATCTTTCTGGAGGCCAGACACTGGGAACACTGCAGAGAATTGCCTCTGAAGGCATGATTTTTTCCTGCAGTTGATAAACTTACAACTGAAATCAGTTATAAACGCTTTGTTGTAACAAGAAGATGGTCAGAGAGAAGCGGGTGGTCTGCGTGGAAGGGCGTCGCTGAGCAGGCATCGGGACTGTAATTCCAGGTGTTCCAAGCCTGGGATTGTCCCAGCAAGGCTAAAAACTGGGTGTGGAGGGCACTGAAGCTCCAAAGATGTGGGGAAGAGAACAGAGGTGAAGGGCAGAGCCGGGAAAGACGGGAAAATTGGCACTCAGAGCTGGATTTGATGCTAAGCCTGGCAATAGCAGAGAGACGTGCCGTTGCAGTCTCAGCTGTGTAATTTTCTGATTTTCCTAACATGGCTAGTTTTAAACAAAATGAGGTGAATGAATAATTTTTTAATTTAATTTGCTTGCGCTTAGTTCCTCCCCATGGCAGCAAAGCTACCATAGGTGAGGATAATATTTTTAAAATTCTGTAGGTTTGCAGATAAAAAAATATTTCTGATACAGCTCTCTTTTGGCTAATGAAATAGCAGCTTATGTGTGAGTTGGTATTAATGGCACATTCAGTAATGACACACGATTCAATTATTTTACTAGACAGGGAAGCACGTAGACACAAACATAAGACATTTCTGAATCTAGGCGTCAGCTGGAGGTGGTTGAAAATACATAATTTGTGCATGTTTTGTCAAATAATTACTGTGGAAAATATTGTGGCATTGTAGTTAAAAGCGGGGGGGGTGTTAATGCTAATAGCTGTAGAGGGAAGAGAATTCCCAAAGAGAAATGCTATTCTATAATCCCATGCTAATCTTCCCGACAGAAAGCAGAAGAAGAGGAACTTGTCCTCACACCTGATGGCACCAGGGAGTTCTTGACATTTGAAGTTCCACTGAATGACTCTGGATCAGCTGGACTTGGTGTGAGCGTGAAAGGTAACCGGTCAAAAGAAAACCATGCCGATTTAGGAATCTTCGTCAAGTCCATTATTAATGGTGGAGCAGCATCGAAGGTAAGAGGGAACATCTGCGTGCTTTGGTCTTCCTCGGTTTTCCATAATAAGACTGTTTTGAAAATAACCGCAGATTGAAGAAGAATGAGATCGCTCTGTAACTAGCTTTTTCCAATTACACCATCAGAGGTAACGTTTAGATTTCTACTCAGGTTCGCATGTTTGTGCGTCCCAGGATTTAAACAGCCCTTACAGATTCTCAGGAAGGAAGCGAGCCGTCACTGGTATGGTGCAATTAGTACGCTGTTTGTGCAGACAGGTGATGATAGCAGCTTGCAGTGCAAATCTGTAATTGGAATGGACATTCCCTGCAACGGCTGCAATGGAAGCTATTGCACTGGTGTTCATTTGGCTGAAAACTGTTGGGAGTAAGCATAGTTGCTTGATTATTTTTCTTTTGTTCTTTTCTTCTCGCTGTCAGACTAAACTTCTTTTGTGCATGTTTTATGTAACTGGCTATAATCTTTCCTTTTGCAGGATGGCAGGCTTCGAGTGAACGATCAACTAATAGCAGTAAATGGAGAATCCTTATTGGGCAAAACAAACCAAGATGCTATGGAAACCTTAAGGCGATCCATGTCCACTGAAGGAAATAAACGGGGAATGATTCAGCTTATTGTGGCGCGGCGAATAAGTAAATGCAATGAGGTAATAAGCTTTTGATATCGGGACTGAGAGTTTTCACTTCTAAGGTGTTTGTGTTTATAGGAGGTGTCATGTTTCCTCTGAGACCTGGAAAATAATATTTGAGAAGCTGAAGAAAGAGAGAATTAGAAAATGATCTGAATTTCGGTGTTAGACATGCTAACCATATTACTGATCAATAAAGTTTTTCTTTTGAGCATTTTCATCAATGAGTAACAGGAAACACTGAATAAAACTATATTGATTTTGTAATTGGATCCCACTGTTTACGTGATTTTTACTCTCTGAAGTTTTTTGTGGAGGCCTATTGAATCTTTCATTTATAGACTTAAACTGACTTGCTTCTTTGTCACTTTCAGTTTTTTTAATTAAGAGTAGAGCCCTTACATGACTGTATTTTATCTAAGCAATTAAAAGTTCCACGTAAAGATTCTGCAAAACTTGATGCAAATAATTCTGTTATTTTGGATTTTAAATATGTTGTGTCTTGGCCTTCATTGCAGAGAAGTATGAAGTACTGAATTCAAGGTGAAGTGGTGGTTCTGTCTCTGATATTATTTACAACTTCTCTCTCCTCCAGTGCAGTGTTAATGTGTTGGTGTTTTGAAACATATTCATGATTTCTAATCATATATCTTCTAGATTAGTGTAAATAATGCTATATAATAGGAACATGTGGGCATATGATGCTGAGAAGCACTGCAGATACTGTGGAGGAACTGAATCAGACTTCAGAATGATTTTGACAAATTGGAAAATTGCACTGAGTTAAACGGGGTGCAGCTGAATGGCCAGTCAGGGGAAGCATCTGTTCTTAAGACATCGAAAAGTCATTCTTTCATGCTTGTTAACATCAGTATGGTCTTATCAGGAGTGTTATATCTTAGGCATCGTGCTTCAAAAATTATGTGCACAAATTGGTTTAGTACTGCTGATCCTGCCTAGGGGGAAAAGGAATGGTTTATGTTTTAATGGAGAAAATTGATCTTTAAAATTTCCAGTCCATAGTGTATTATAAAATCATGTTTGAAAAAGACACTGGCCTCTCTAAAAGTAATAAGCTCCTCTTGATTAAGTGCTTACACACTTCTTTAATACACACATACACACATGTTTATAAGTACACACCACTGGAAACCCAGCTTGGATGCGCACGGTTTCTCACTTGGTGTTGAAGGAATTTTGATCTTTTCTGTATTTGGTGATGTCCTGTTCTAGCCCTAATTCTGAACTTGGACTCCAGACTCTCTTTTGGAGACGGCTCTTTATTCCTACCCAATTTCAGGTGTATTTTAGATGTTACTACATAAGAAGGGTGAAATATTTTAGACTATTTCTGTGTTTAGTGTATTTTTTTCAAAAAGGATGCAGAAAATGTTCACTCTTCTCGTAGTGAAAGTCTGCTAGATCAAATGTATCAAGACGGTGTTTGTAAACATCATGGTGCAAATCCGGTAGCGATGGACCAAAGACGTTGATCCTTAAATCTGGTAGAAGGTTTGCTTGTTCAAGTTAGGAGCAGTTTGGTGTCCTACACCTGCTTGATGTTTAATGTGATTTATTTTGCAGAAATCACATGGCAGAAATGGCACAGCTCAGTCTACAGTGTATGTGCTCCGAGATGAAAGAACTGATGTTAGAACCATATTTTGCTAACACTGAAATGTATCTGTAGAGGGAGCAGGATGGGGAGCTGTGTCTGTCTGGGCCTACTTTACAGTTTTTTATGCATTTTCCCAGCTCCTTAATAAACTAGTGAGATGAGCCATAATGATTTGGGAAAGTGATGATATGCAATTATTGGTGTAGTGATCATCTGTACAAAATAATTTTTGTAACTATTTTTTCTCAGGAATTGTTGTTTTCATGACATTCATCCAAAGGAAATATGATGTCAGTAGTGTTTGTATATTTTAATATGATGAAAGCACAACTTGCATGGACATAAAGCTATTTACCTGCTGAGCTGGCTGTGTTCAAGAAGTCGGTTTCCTGGGAGTCTTGCAATGCCCAGACTTCAATAAAATGAAAAATGAGGAGAGAATTTTTTTCCTGGCATTTTGCAATTAAACCCTAGTTCCTTGTTGAAGAATTGGATGAATTTAAATTTTAGATATTATTAATCTGATATAATACTGACAAGTATAAATACCATAACAAATGCCAAAACATTTGCTGTCTGTTAAAAAAACATCAGAAAGAACAAGAAAAACAAGCCTTTTTTTTTTTCCCCCAGCTTAAAGTCCAGTAATTGTTTTGCATTTGCAAAATCAAACTGAGTTCTTCTGAAACAGAGAAGTAACCCAGTCTGCTTTTTTCTGCAGTTACATTGAGTTTGAATTGGATTTTAAGAAATTTAGTAGTGTGAATACTGTTCTTTTAGTTTTAATATTCATTTTCATAATCAGCCCTAAGAAATGGGAGGGGGGGGAGGAATTAATTTGACAGCATGGTTCTGCAGAGTGCCACTGCTCTGTGTTTCAATTCAGACCAGAATTCTGACGTGCGTTTTATATTTTGTTTGCTATCTTGAAGAGAGGATGGCTCAACCCCTGGTGTCCTGGGTTTGGAGAGGCAAGGGGCGGCCTTCGGTCTGCTGCAGAGCAGCTGTTTCTTTGTCAGAAAGTTTTCTTAGGCTTCAGAAGTCAAAGTGTACTTAACTGGAGCATGGAACTGTTTCAAAACTTTGTGAAATGACCTCTGATACTCCATTTTCATGCCAGCATTATTCTCATACAACTCCACTGGTTCTCATGGTATAGACTAAGCTTCCAAAGCAATTAGAGTAACAATACTAATTAACATAAACACTATGAGAGCGTTATCTTGTCTTCAGAGAGGTAGCAAGGAGATAATTTACATCATCAGTTCTTACATAACTGTAAACTCAAAAGAGACCACAACCTTCCCAGAAGGTAAAAAGTGTTTTTGTGCTGTTGTGGTTTTACTGAACTGAAGAGTAGCCTGTGGAATGTTCATTGACTCACCAGGAGACAGAGTATAATCCACCCAGGTTTTCAAGAGAATTATCTCGTAGTAAATATTGATACAAGCATGGAGCGTGCGGTAGTTACGAATGAACCCCAAGCCAAAACTGTGTATCTGACTTTTTCTCCTGTTTGCATTACGTCTACACAGAGTACAGTAATAGAGCTAATTCTGTAAGCTCTACTGCTACAAACCTTGCAAAGCTTTGCTTAACATCTCAGCCACTCCAGACAAAATCACACAGTGAATATTTGATGGATGCTGTTAGATTAGTGTAACAAAAACATTTAGTTTGGGATTTGGATATGTCTAAGGCTCCCTCTCCCCCTTTCAAAAAAGTTAAATATGCTGTTCAAATCTGTGTTTTCAGCTTTCAGCCTTGCCCTCTGTGATCAGCGTTGTATGCTAATTCTTCAACTTTCCTTTATAAACACAGAAAGACTTAAAGGTACATTTCCAAAGTTGTGCAGACAGTGGCAAAAGTGGGAAGAATAGCAATGCTAGTGACTTAATATTCATGTACAGCCAGCATGTAACGCCTTAGTTTTCTGAAGACATGGCCATCAGCTTTTTGGATCTTGAACTTCAGGGTTGACATTTTTTTAATTGCAGAGTAGCCTAAGATTTAAGGAGAGACACTGGAGCTCCTTGCGCCGTGTTCTGTTAATTAGTGATATTATTATGATTAGCCTGTATGGGCAAACAGCTGCTGGCTGCATGGCCATAATGCGCACGCAGCGCTGAGGCGTGACTGTCAGGCCGGTCCCTGCAGCTGGCAGCAGTGTGTGCCGGTTCAAGAAAATAAAGGTAGTTGTTAGTCTTGAAATCCTGCTCTTTTCAGTCCTGCAACCTGGACAGCTTAGAGGGACAGACCGCCCGTCTGCCCTCTGCTCATGTCACACGCAGGCAGCACTTGTCTGCCGTTGGGAGAGAGAGCATCACCATTTTCCTCAAAATGAGAGATTTCCAGGTGGGGTTTTTTCTGTCATCTCCCTTTTTTTGACAGAATTAAAGTCTTACCAAACGTGCCTGGAAAAAAGGTTTGTAAATAATTTGCAGATTCCCAGACTTCTTTCTGTATGCCCGTTCATTTTTGCTCCAGTTGCTGAGTTGAAAATGGAGCATACCATGAAGCAGAGACAGTCCGTATAAGGACCACATCAACTGTTTAAATAGACTGGTAGACAGATCAGCGAGACAGACTTTTCAAATGAGTAGTTTCGTTATTAAAGAAAGGAAAACAGGCAAACATCTATTTTTTTTCTGGCTTGTGTGGAAATATAAAACATTCAGCATTATTTTTCCCTGCATGCATTACCTAGTTATCTACTTCAAAATTGATAGGACAGGTTTGTTTTTTTTCTTTTCGTGCTAGATTAGTTTTGTGACGACCTTCTGCAGTTGTTTAACTATCAAAAAGGCTTTAGCATCTTCTCCAAACATGGTGATTTCACAGTTCACTCCCTTCTCCAAGTCATTGATAAAGCTGCTCATCAGCTGAAGCTGTTCCCAGCCCTGATCCCTGGGAGTACCTACAGCTGACTCTTCTCCACCCTGAAGACTGAGCTTTGTTTCCAATCCTTTAGCTAGATTTCAATCCAGAAAATGAAAACTTAGTTCAGGCCTATGAAAACTTCGTTTCTTTAACACCTTTGGTATGAAGCCTTGGTAAAGGCTTTTTGAAAATGCAAATACATCACATCTGATTCATTGCTTGAGTGCTTGAAGAGCTTACTGGTACCTTCGTGCAACTCCAGCATCCCGGTGAGGCAGGATTTCCCCATGGATATCTGCCTTCCCCATGGGCCCATGCCTGTCATGCTCAGTGATCTTATTCTTCATTGTAGATGCCACCATTTTATCCTGAAGGAGGTCTGTAGTTCCAAAGATCCCCTCTAGATACATAGGTAACCACCAGTCTGGCACCGTGGCCATTTGTAATAGTATGTTGAACCTTTTCGCCAGCAGTTAAGCAATTTCATGGTTGAGTCCCTTCAGGGCTTTTGGGAGAATGC